ATATATATATATATACTGTATATATATATATCCTTTTTTATTGTTCTTATACTGTTTTCTTAGACCTTATAATGTTTTTTCTTTCATTACTGTTCTGTCATCTATACTGTGACTAGGAGAGATGCCCACACAAGAATTCCAATGTGTATAAACTGCTAGTATATGCACAAATGGCAAATAAAGATCTATCTATTTATCAATGATCACGTTGTTTTGAGCACAGTCAGTAAAATTGGAGCTGTGGACTCTTAACTTTGAGCAGACAATAATGTGGGGTTTTGTTTTGTCCCCACCTTCAGTTATTCCCACCATAAAGCAGCACAAGGCTGACAGATGGTAAAAAAAAATTAAATGGAGTGATTTTGAATTATTTTACAATATCGGTATCGGACAATTCTCAAAGTTGCAATATCGGTATCGTATCGGAAGTGAAAAAGTTGTATCGGGACATCCCTAATTCCAGCCCCGTCCACCGTCTCCAATCCATCAACCCACTTATTTTCCATTATCGATCCACGGTACGCTAACTGGAATGATAATCAGTGGAGACATCTCTATGCACTCTGCAGCCCTGCAAATAAGGGAATTGTAAAGAAAAAGAAAAAACAAGTACAAGCAAACTCAGGCTTGCTTGTACTTAGATCAATATACATATTGAAAATTAATGGGAGTGTGTGCATGGCAAACAACCAAATAATGGTGTGGGTGTGTGTCAATACGCTGCTTTCAAGTACGTCTGTGACTGCGCAGCATTTTGAATACCAAGTACTCTTTTAATGCTCTACATTATTTATTGCATACAAAGCTACGATGGAAACATCTGGAAAAGTTCTCAGCACAGGGAGGAAAATTGTGGAGTTATCTGGATGTTTAAGAAATTTCTTCATTATTTGTTTTAGGAACTTTATATTAAAAAAGAGATTTTATGAACTTATCTGAAACTAGAGCCGTTTCAAGGAATGCATCTTGTCCACATATGGTGCTGTTTAATTCTTCTTTTTCACATTGAAATTATTCAGTTCGGGCCTACACAAAGTTGAACTGCAACGATTTAGTCTGAATTCCTCCTTATTGTAACTCCACAAGCCCCTCTTTTACCCCTTTTTTAAAGTGTGTCTCAGATTAACTTGGATGAGGCCGTCTCTTTTAATCCAAATGAGGAGATTCACACACACCTACCCTCTCCTTTACAGTGGTCCACTCTAGTTTGATAAAGGGGTTTATGGCTATAATTTATAAATTAATTAAAAGATGTCAACAGCAGACGACTTGTCTATCCAGCCTTACATGTTGGACCGAACTGTAGTTGGTAAGTCCTTTGTCAGTTCTGCTGCAAATACTGTGATGAAATAGTTTAGAAAACGCCATAGAAAATAGACAAAAATAAACAGGTTAAAAAATATGACTCAAACAGAATATAAAGATATCTAGGCAGCACCGGACACAGTAAATAAAAATTTCTGCTCTCCTAAAGACTAGTACACAACAAAATGTATGTAATGGCTAAAAAAGTGGATTTTGCATATGTCCCCTTTAATGGAGAGAAGAGATATAAAACAGATGGTGTCTAAGCCAGCTGACTGGGACTTTAAGATGTAAACAGGTTGTGTGTTGTGTGTAAAGAGGCGTAACCTGGAGGCTCAGAGAGCAGTTTGTGCTCGGTTTGTTCAACGCCCACACAGTGACTGTCACCAAAACAAAAATAATAACTCGGCTTTAAAAAGCATCCTTCATGCCAGCTGTGGAAACACAAAGCCCATTAATACAGAGCTCATGGTGGCGTGATGACAGGCCAATGATGAACTTCAGCTTGTGACACAAAGACTCAGACAGCAGCCCTGCTGATCCATTCTGACAGATGATGGAGCTCCAGCTTACCTGTAAAAAGCTGGAGGTCTGAGGGTTCCATTTCTCCTCTGGTCGGCCGTGCCATGTGTTCAGAATGCTTAAACACACCTGAAGGAAAAGACAGAAAAAAATACTGATGGGATCAATTTTAGTAAGAGCTATATGACCACAAATAGAAATGTTTGAGGCTCACACAGTCATTAYACTGTGGCTAAAGTCAGGCTGAAAAAACCCAAGGCAGCTTATAGAACTAGATCTTAWTGCTTGTGTGTAGTTTTTATTTTAAATAAATGCACACACAGTATAAATGCAATAAATAATTAGCAAGTATATATATTTTTACACTATATTTAAAGAAGAAGCAAAGTAAAAACAGAGGTCCATGAGAACAAAATCCAAACATCTCATCAGGCAGGATAACAGAATAACTACTTTTGTACCATTTCTACTACACAGTGGTAGTTTCTCAGCAGCAATTCCTATGGTTTAGGACAGAGGTCTGCAACCCGCGGCTCTGGGGCCACATGTGGCTCTTTGGTCCCTTTGCAGTGGCTCTTTGAAAATGTGACCAAACATAACAGAAAATATTTTTTTTTGTTTGTTTTTTTTATACTCACAACAGAAATCCATTTGTGTGCAAATATGTGATTAATACTAATACAAAAAGTAAAACATGTTAGCTCATGCTAGCCTGTTGTTTACTTAAATAATCCAACTTATTTCTATGCTCTCTCTCAAATCCATCAGAATCACCTTTAAAGAATTTGAAAACTGCATAATAAATATTAGAAAAAAAAACATGCCTGAATAATTCAGTTGTACTAGTTTTTATGAAATTAAATAAAAACTATATACAGTATTTTTATTGTTTACATGATTATGGTCTTTCATTTGTTCTGATGTGCAAAATAATAATCAATAATAAAATTCACATTATAGTTTTTGGTTTTATAATGTATTGCAGACCCCTGGTTTAAGAGGAGAGCTGTAGTGAAGTGTGGTATAAATGGCAAATCTGCTTCTCAACGTCACAATTTGCTCAGGCCATGAGTCACATATGTTAAATAAATGTGGATCTATTGGGGTCTTTAAAGACAAAAGGAATGTACAGTGAAGGACATGGATAGATTRAGTAAAGACAAACATTTGTAAATCTATGGGTGTTTATCACAAAGTACGTCAGCATGAAAATTCCCATCCMTAACATTTTTGTTTACACTTCAAGTGAAGTGATGCTTTTTTTTATTTTTACTAATCAGAATGTTTTCACATCAGCTTTGAGCTACAAGTTTCTTCCATTTATCAAGATTCTCTTTCCTCGGTTCAAACATTCGTCTATCACTCATTCCTAAATGCGACTTTAATATGTTAAGTCCCGGGATTTCTTCACAGCAGCTGTCAGGGTCCATTATATWAACCAATGTAGGGTGTCAGCAGCTGCCTAATGAGCTGCAGCTCCTGTAGAGTGCTTCAACACTTTGACCTCAGCTTCTCCATGGAAGGAAGCCAGGGCAACAAAGAGCGACTCGACATATTCCAACATGCCAGGAGGACGCCTCGAGGGACGCCCGTTTCCAAATGTCACTATAAATAATATCTGGACATCTGTAGGATTTGTAAGATCTTTAGACCATCTGACAATTCAGAACCTGCATGAGGAGAGGCATACAGATAGTTTTCTTWTTGTGCTCATTACGTAGCCAGTTAAGATGTCAGATGAGCAAGGAGTCAACCTTAGGTTTTGGCTGATTTTCCAGTCTGCGTTTAGTAATTAAACGCCACTGTTGGAGGCAAAATCGCAGATGGATCAACATCTCTTCAACTACGGACATGAAAAAGCTTTAAGATGCAACATATGGAGACCATTGGCCGGTAACAAAACATTTTCATAAAAAAAAACATTTTACTTGATACATGACAATGTATGAAAAGACTAAGCATCATCTGAATGTTGCCACACAAAAACATTTGGTTGCAGGTTGATGTGTCCCGACTGGCAGATTCTTGCAAATCAGTTCGCTTCTTTTACAGTTTACCAKGCCTATATTTAAGCCAATTCTTAGAAATCAGGTTAGAAGTTTGTTAAAAACAAGCCATAACAATTTTTTTGTTGGTAGAAATAACTATTTAAAAATATATAATTGGTTTATTATGATCCTCATCGATCTAGTACACAAGATTATTAATTWATTTTAATTGATTTGAATTAACCTGAAAAACAAAAACTTCAACAGTTGATCATTTTTAATTACTCTAAACTCACTTTGCCATCATTGTACAGGTTTGGGTTGAAGCGCACACTGTGGCCCCCTGTGGTCTCCAGATTAACCARGGGAGGTGAGTTGGGGTAGTCCTGGGGAAAATACACATCAAACTCAAAGCAACCGTTGGCGTAAGGMGTGTCCGCTGGGCCCGTGATGAGAACCTGACAACACGAGGAGGAAAAAAAGAAACAGAAAACTTCATTTATCACAAGGGACAATTTATTTCTGCAGTTAGACTACTGCATGTGTTCAGTTCAATCCTTCTTGTTTTGAATGGTCAAATATCGATCCCATCATGCTTGTATCAATATGATCAAACATGGTAAACCACTGTTGGTATTACATATTGGTGTAAATTTTCAGTCATCCAGGACATGACAAATGTAGAACATTTTTAAAAGATGAACCAACTGGATTTCTGTTTTGCAGCTGAAGATGTGAAGAGTTCCAAGCTTTTAAC